GCCCTGCAAGTTTCCCCGATTCTTCTCCTTGTTTCAGATCCGCTCGAATGTGTTGGCATTGAAGATGTTGATCAGCTCGTCGAACGACTAGAAGATTTTGCGGATGTCGGTGTTTCTGGGTACTTTCTTAAAGTCTTTCAAGGCACGTTTGATGATGGCCGTTTCCTTCTCGCTCCACTCCCATCTGCCGGGCTCGCTACCTCCTACTGATGATGTTCCTGGGGGCTTCGACAACACATACCTAGCCGTGCGGTGGTGTGCACTCTGTTCTGGTAGCTCATAGAAGTCCAGAGTCGGTTGTTGCTTTATGAGGTACCACACCCAGTGAGAGACTGGTTTTATTTTTTTTGTCGTCCAACTCTGAGTTTTTGAATGTTTCATCCGCCATAAGCACTTTCTTCACCCGGAGCTTCCCCGGAGAGCACTGAGTTTCGATATCTGATTTGTGAAAGCCTCACAGACCCGGGTTAGCTCCTCAGCAGAGAAAGGCGGTTTCTTGGAGGGTGTTTTAAAGTTGGGTCTGGCCTCTTCCAAACATTTTCAAACCTCTGCATTTGCAAATGAATACAAATGTGAAGCTAGGTTAAGGTCTGTCAAATTCCTCATTTTAAGAAACAATTTTTTTTCATTCCTTATCGAGATTTGTTCTTGATGTAGTTTCTAAAGAAACTAGGGTGCCACTCTTTGGATTTGAGGTTTGCTGTTAAGAAATAAAAAGTCTCATCATCCTGTTTTATTCAAACCACCTGGTTCCTCATGAAAAATCACCAGGATTGTCTGGAGTAAAGATATTAAGGAAGATAGCACTAACACATGGGGTAACAGGTCTTTACAGTGTTTTTTTACTGTGTATTGTGGAGAAAATGATGACTCGCTCTTATTCATTAGATGGTGAAGCTGACTAGAGCATGTTTTAAAAGCTTCATCCTGATGAAGTTAAGATCACTTCTGTTTGTGTTCTTATGTTGATTTCTGAATGTACCCCTTGCAACTGAGACAGTCATTTATGTTCTTCCAGACGGTAGAGTGAAAGGTGAATACAGAATTCTCTGACAACCTTTCTCAGGGAAGTCTCATCAACTTCGTTGCCAGTTACCCAGTACTTCGAAATGGTGGAGATTTTAGGATTTTGTGGCTGATTTGTAGCCTAGAGATAGAGAAATGATCTACAGAAAAAGATGGGGTGATATCTTGTAAGAAGATGATGAGGGCCGGTTCATGCCTTCTTCCACTTTTGTTTCAAAAATCGAATTTTACCTTCGGCCCCCCCCCT